TACTTAAATTCTCTCTAGACACTCTTCAATAGTGAATAGTTTTTTATCCTGTAACTTCATTTCGTCATCAAATCTTTTTAGGTGCTATTTTAAAGAAGATTTTGTGGAGAATAGTCTGAAACAATGAGAGCATCGGAATGATACAGTATGCTTACGCATATGATAGACTAAATTCGATTTAAGTATGGTGACATATTTACACAAGTAACATTCAAATAGTTGTGGAGTGCAGTTTTTCTCTTGTCATCATGAATTCTTGTCGACAAATCGAGCAATGGAATGGGAATTGTTTTCCGTGAGTTTTCATATGCGTTTTCAGATTTTCTTTTCGAGTAAATCCTTCCGCACAAATGATGCATTCAAATGGATTTTCATCAGTGTGTGTGCGTCTGTGTACAATCAGATTTTCCGGATTTTTGGCCTCATAATTACAAAACTCACTTTGTGTTTTGGATTTCACGTTTGATGTCGATCCATTCGGTTGTTCGGTGCCATTTGAATTGGTTTCATTCTCCAGACATTCTTCGGCAGTGAAAAGCTCTTCAACTTGTAATTTCGCTTTGCCATTAAGTCGTTTTAGGTGCGATTCTAAATCCGATTTTTTGGCGAATCGTTTCGCAAAATGAGAACATCGGAATGGTCTACTCACGGTATGAATGCACATATGTCGGACTAAGTGTGTTTTGTATAATGTATCATATTTGCACAAGTAACATTCATATCGTCGTAAATTGCACTTTTTCTCGTGCGTATCCTTTGTCCGTTTCACGTTGAATCCTTGTCGACAAATCAAGCAATGGAATGGAAATAGTTTTGCGTGAGTTCTTATGTGAACATTCAGATGAGCCTTTTGAGTAAATCCTTTCGCACAAATGTTGCATTTAAATGGTTTCTCGCCAGTGTGAATGCGTCTGTGTCTTATCAATTCTGCCGGACGTTTGGCCACATAATTACAAAACTCACAATTTTTTTTGGATTTCCATTTTGAAGTCGATCCATTCTGTCGTTCAGCACCATTTGAATTGGTTTCACTTCGTTCAACCGGTTTAAAATCTACGTTGTTTGACTGATGAGATCTCTCTGCATCATCGAATTTCAGATCAATCAATGGCGGTTCTGTGTGAAAATAACAAAGTTCTTGATTAAATAAACTGACTTTTCGACACGTAATTTGATCGCAAGTCTCACCTGAAATCGATTCTGGAATGGTTTTCAATGTCGAACGTGTTGCAATCCTCCGTATCTTCTTTGAATTGCCATTCGATGTTGATGCGTCCGCAATTTTTCTCTTTTGCCGTTGATTCGTGGTCTTTTTCTGTGCGTCATTTTGGTTGATTTGGTTGCCAATGTTATCCAGAGATGCTGCGTCAATTTCATGCGTCAAATCGACAATAATCGAATCGCTCTCTATATCAATAAGAATTGCTTCAATTTCTGGAGCATTAATTTCGTTGATTTCATCTAATTCACTCACAGCTCGATCGATTTCATTTGTTCCGATGATTCCATTCGTTGTTTCATCGCTGATTGTGCCATTTCCAATGTTCTCTTCGCTCAGGTCAATTTCTGTCGTAATACTTGGCAATAACTGTGGCTCGCCCATGGCATTGTTCACATCTGGACGATCGGTTACTTCATTTATCTCTTCATGTGCCACTGTTGTAATCGTCTCAGTCGCTGGTTGATTCGTAGTCACTTCTTGAGCTTCGTTTTCAATAATCACACTGTCGATGTTTTCTGATGGTTCCACAGTATTTTCAGGAATCAAATCGATGCGTTCGTCAACGGTCGTGTCGTTCGGTAGATCAACGTGAATCGGTTCGTCTTCTTGAGCATCCATTTCGTTGATTTCGTTCAATTCATCGATGGCTAGACTTGCTTCGTCTGTCGTCACTGAGTTGTTCGTTGTTTCTTTGTCCAATTCGTCAATTCCAGTGATGTCTTCACTCACGTCAGTTCCGTTCGTTGTGGTTCGCATTGATACTGTCTCATACACGACATTGTTCTCATCTGGATGATCGATGACTTCATTTATCTCCTGGCTCGATAATTCTTCGATCGCCTCAATTGCTTCGATTTCTGGAGCATCAAATTCGTTGATTTCATCTAATTCATTTATATCTCGATTTGCTTCATTTGTTCCGGTCATTCCATTTGTTGTTCCATCGCTGGTTGTGCCATTTCCAATGTTCTCTTCGCTCAGTTCACTTTCTGTCATAACACTTGGCAATAACTGTGATTCATCCATTGCATTTTTCACCTCTGGACGATCGGTTGCTTCATTTATCTCTTCATGTGCCACTGCTGAAATCGGCTCAGTCGCTGGTTGATTCGTTGTCACTTCCTGAGCTTCGTTTTCATTGATCTCATTTTCGATATTTTCTGACGGTTCCACGATATTTTCAGGAATCAAATCGATGCGTTCGTCAACGATCATGTCGTTTGGTAGATCAATGTGAATCGGTTCGTTTTCTTGGGTATCCATTTCGTTGATTTCGTTCAATTCACCGGTGGCTGGACTTGCTTCGTCTGTCGTCATTGATTCGTTCGTTGTTCCTTTGTTCGATGCGTCATTCCCTGTGTTGTCTTCACTCACGTCAATTCCGTTGTTTGTGGTTGGCATTGATTCTGTCTCATCCATGGCCCTATCCGATTCCGTGCGATTGACGAGTACACAAACCTCTTCGTTTGTCTTCGGATCGATCGCTTGCTGATTCGATATGATGATTGTCATATAAATAGCGCTCCCATCTCCTCGTCCATTGCTTTGTGTTATTTTGTAAGTTGATTGAGCAGTGCAAAGCTCCGACCGATGACAGCTACACGATCCTTTGATCACAGTCTCACCGCTTGCATCGGTGGTCGTCTTGTTGGTGTTCAAATAGTGATTTGTCGGATCATTTCGGCCGCGAACTCCAATAAATTGCTCTTTCAACTTGGTTTTAGTGAGATATAGATCGTACGCTTTAGTGACCCTATGGAAAGAAGAGCATGAAAACAATTGTTTTAGTCAAATGGTCAAACATTAGCGTTGAAAAGCACAATCGAAAAAGTCAAAATTTAAGAATAAATTTAACTTACCAGTCATTCGTTGCTCGCAAAAAGTATTGCTTGAAATTCTCGTCAAACGACATTGCGCTGCATTGGAATGCATTTTCCACAAATCGTAGCGATTCCTGCGTTGTACCTAGGATATTAATCCAATAGTTGTCAAGGACGTTCTCCCAATTTTCACCCATTTTCCCTGAAAATACACAAACATTCACGGCATTCGATTAGATTTCGCTGCAAAGTTTTTATGTCTGAGGCAGATCAAACACTGAATGAAATGACTCAATTTGTACACAAATCACAAAAATCAGTCGAAATGAATCAATGACCCCTTTAAAAAAATTCGTTCTTCTGTCGAATATCCTATTTTAGGTCACTATTTTTTTGCAAAAACAAAAACTCGCAGTTTACACACAAACAAAAATCCATTGGCCCAAATAGACCGTAAAATGCATATGTATGAGTATTGTATGCCTACGTTTCGCATTCCGAGAATAGACTTGACTATTTTGCTCACACTATGCGTATACGTTTTAGGGCTATAGCGCGATATTGACTATATTCTCTTCTTCATGGCATGTAAGACAACATTTGTATGCGTGTGTATTAAACAGATGACGCTATTTGTACACAATGAAAGAAGACACCGAACCGACAAAAAATACAGTAGCATCCGATCTCGCGAAAAACATTTCATGATTTTGTATTATTTCTGTGGCAAAGTTCCATTGTAAAATGATAATTCCATTGCTTACCCAAATACACAAATCTGTCGTCCTTTTCTCTCTGTCTCTTACTGTTTTTCTAACGGATCGATTGCACACGGCAGCATACAGTTTGCACTTTATATTTCGTTGATATTTTCGCCGAATTTCGACGAATGACTATTATGCGATGTAACACCAATTATCTTCTTCGATTTCACTTACGATTCTATGGATTTTTCAGGATTTTTCAAATATGAAAACATTCACAGAGCGGGTTGTGTTTGATGCACAAAAATAAACAGAAATGCTGCTTTGTCACGTAAACGTCAATCGCACCTTGACAAAGTACTCAACAGTCATTGTTTCGCTGATATGGAGAGTAAGCCCATTACGCTTGAGTACATTCGCGCGCCACTTTTGAATGTGAACCGATTCACCCCATTTTTATCGGATTTTCTACGCTGAATTTGGAAATGGTATTCAGTTACGTCAGAAAAAGTTTCAAGTATTTAATCGAAAATTCAGGGAGGCAATAACTGGGTTACTTCTTGTTTTAGCTTCATAATTTCAGTAAAAACAATGTGAATGACACCATAAGCGTTTTGCTATCGTTTCAAAATTGACCACACGCCAAAAGGGATTACCAGCCTAATGATTAATTTTAACGCGTTGTAGTCAAACATTTCCCTAATCAATTGCGTGTCCAAATTTGGTGTAGTTCTTGCAGATTGGACGCTTCTCCACTTGATCAACTTACCTTTGTGCCATAACAGCCATTTTTAGACGTTTTTTACTTACCTTAATATAATTGACTGAAAAATTCATAGAAAAACATTCTAATCATGGTAAGCATACAAATTAAAATGCCACAGGAGATGTAATTTTGAATGATCATGATTTAATAACAGGTATTGTTATGGCATTTTTCATCGCTAAAATATCTTCATAGGTTGAGAAAGATAGTATCGCCCGGATCAGATGTGATCGATTTGTTATTTAACACTTCGGCACACATACTGGTAGCTCAAACAAAACAATTGGATAAAGGCTTTGTCTGTGATTCACATTTTAAAGTCTACAATGTACATAAACCGTATTCAGTTTGCAGCAGATTAAACGGTGAGCTTGAAAAAATCATAGAATGTAAAAATTCTATGAAAAATTGATGTTTTGCACTACAATGCAATGCATTACATTTTTTCCGATTAAGTAAGAAAAGATAGGGAAAGAAAGATGTTGCTTTGATTAAGAGAGATTGAATTGAATGAATTTGTTATGAGTGTCACCTATTTATTAAAATGTTTGATTGTATTCATAATCAACCGAGAACAATCAACCTCTCAATTTCGGTTTATTTCTCCTTCTCTTCCGCTCTTTTTTTTTTGGACTCTCAAGTTCTTCTTCTCTTACTCTTTTTCCCTCTCTCTCTCTCTTTCTCGCATTGTCACTCTATCATTCCCTCTCTCTCTCTCTCTCTCTCTCTTACACACACAAACAAATTCTCTTTCTATCACGCTCGCTCTAACTCTTTCTCCATCCTCATTCCATTACCCACAAACTCAAAAAATTATATGAAGTGACTCAAATGAACCGTACTATGAAATGCACTCTTCTATTTCACCTTTACATTTCCTATAAACCATTAAAAAATGACTCATAAAAAATGCACAATTTTCAATGCTCACAAAATGCCCCATTTGAACTATGCCGCCGTATCACAATTCAAAGTATTTCACTTGGTGTCAAATGACCATTGTGCTTCATAAGAGAGATAAAGACACAAAACAACATCGGCGTAACGTCATTTCACGATTAAACCGCAGTGCTTTTTCTCGACGGCTGACAATGAACAAAACATTTCTCTTCTTCTTTATTCAACGACATACTGAGCCAATTCGACGCAAACTAAACATAGAAAATTCATGCCATTCGATCAAACTTTATTTATTTATTTGAAATACACACACATAGACACACAAACAGCCACGAAAATAGCAATCAATGACAAGTGGACTGAGAACGGTGTATTTAAATGTCATAGGTTTTCACAGTGTATTGGAATTTGCTGTAGATTCACAGAGAGAATTCACGTTCGGTACTCAATCCAAATGTGTGTAATCCGCTTAGAAACAGTTTTCCATTGTTCAAACAAAAAACTTTTCAATTGTTCAAATCAAAAAAAAATCTGTGATTTTTTTAAACAAATTATTTTTTAAACACAAAAACCGAGCAAACAAAGTGTTTGATTAAAATGAGTGAATTTGTGTGAAAAGGAGCGCAAAAAAAAACCTTCGAATAAAGTATGAAATGTAGCGACGGGAAATTCTGTGTGCGTGTGTCAGAATCGAATAAGAGCTGTACCGTTGACACATATACACGAGTGTAGCCTATGTAAAACAGCTGATCAGAGGCAATGTGCGCATTAGAAATAACCGTGTGGAATGGCAAATACACACAGAAGCGGGTTTACGTCATTTCCAACACGTGTATACAACGTTTGTGTATGCGCGCTCTCAAGCTATGTGCTGTGATATGGCCGTTGGTTGTGTGCGTTGCATAAATCGATTGACACCATGGATGTTGGCGGCAAAATGAACAGTGTACGTCAATGTGGATACATGTCGCCTATGTATTTCCACTTGAATGTGCGCGTATTCCATTCTCTGCTCTCAATCATCAACAGTGTAACATAGGGCGATAGAACCTTCGCACGCGTTCTACTCTCACACATACACTCCTCTATTAAGTAAGAGCAAAAAAAAGAACGAAGAAAAAAAAGCATGACATTTAGTGATGAAACTCGTGAAGTGACGTGCCAGTTCAGTTGTTTACGCGCTCAAAAATTGTTCGGCAAATAAAAAAACCAAATTCATTTTTGGTGTTGATTTGTCTCTCTCATTCGGTTGATAGCATTTCTATTTCTTTTCAAATTGATAAATCGTTTGTTGTGTTCAACTGGCAACAACACATACACATATCGAATAAAATTAAACCTACGAAAAGACATAAACGATTGACTTGGTTCATTTGTTAGCTATAAGTTGTATCGACCGAACGAGAAGAGACAGCGAACAAAAAACAAGTGTTCGAATAAAAAATATTTAGCAAAATTTCGTGTGATTGTGTTCATTAAAATAAGAAACAAATTATTTGCAATTGTTTTAAAATATCTATCATCAGTTTGCTGTTGTTGTTTGCTTCAGAGAAGGTTTATTCAAGGTCAATTCATTTGTGCCGGCTATACAATGGTAATGAAATTTATATTCAATTCAACATTCTTTTCTACGGTCAATTTGGCGTTTTTCTTGTTGTTGGTGGTGTTCAATGTGTGTGTGAGTTTGTATTATTTTTTTAAGTGAGCGAGTGACATAAATTGGCACAATCGTGATGGGACGAACCATATGCAAATGATTGTTGTGTGAGTGAAATGCCATGAGAACTTTTTTGGTGACACAATGTGACGTATGGTGCCACATAACAACCAGTGTAAACAGCGGATATTTCTCATTTAGAGCAATGTATGGATACGATGTGTTTACATTTCAATTAGATAGAACGTGAAGAATTTTGGTTGGAACTATTGAATGTCAGTGAGAAAAATCGCTTGTTCGCGTCAATTGGACAATTAATCGATTCGATAAGTGTTTATCAATGATTTTGATTATATAAACCGTTGTATCCGATCTGATAACGTGAAATAAAAATGATGCCAATGTTTACACAGTGGTTTTGGCTTTAATTGACGTGCGAACAGTAGCGAAAGACAGAATGGGAGATTGATAAATAGATAGCCAGAGATAGAGATAGTAAATGGGAGAGGGAGAGAGAGATTGACATAGAGACAGTGAGATAGAACGAGAGATAGAGAGAAAGAGAGTGAGAAGAGAGAGAGAGATAACGAGGAAAAGAGAAATAAAGTGCAATAAGAAGACACAGGGAACAGTGCTACAGAGAGATAATATGAGTGTGTGTGAGAGAGAGAGAGGAAGAGAGAAAGAGTTGAAGAGATTGAGAGTGAGAAAGTTTGAAATAAAATCTCCGCAAAATGAAGTAAATAAAAAAAACCACCATGGTGCCAAACTTTTTCACACTGGAATTTAGATCAAAGAATGTCACGGAATTTCAAATTTCGATCGACTGTTGGTACCATTTCTAGGCATTCAATGTGTTTTCAGAAGAAAAAAAATCCATTTATTATTAATTTTGAAAGTTATTCTCTGCATATTATTCTGCTGTGCAAGCATTCCAACAAGTTTCCAAGGCAATAAACTCAACTGTGACCCATTTTAAAGCGATAAAATTATTATTATTATTTATTCAAAAATGTGCACAAATCAAGTTTCTTCTCTTGTTTTTAGCGCGTTTTATCAATGATTTCCTTCTCAAATCTCATTTGTGTATGTACAATGCCTCACTTATTTGTATTACTTATCATGTTTTACAACAAATGCGTTGTTTATACATTAAGACTCATACGATTGTTATTCTCTGCATTCAAAGCAATTTCAGTTTTTGTTTATTTTCGATTATCTTTTTCATTCTCCTTTGCTGCTAAAAGTACTGGAACCCACTGCCTTTCATTGAAACTTTTTCGTCGCCGCCCATTTCAAATAGTTTCATATCTCATTCCGTTGTCACGTGCGAGCAAGAAAAACTTCCTGGGCTTTTGTACAATTAAAACCGTTTGACATTGAATTGTTCATTATGACAGCGACGTGTTCTAATAGAACGCATCGAATTTCAAACGGATCACATAACACTCAGCTCCTCGTGTGCCCACTTGTTGCGCAATTCAATTGGTTTCTGTCAACGTCATTATAATGCGCTCTTAAAATCGAAAAAATGCTGACAATTTATCAATTTAAGTGTTTTTCCTTTATTGAAGTCACAGCAGACACCGTTTTTTCTAGGCCATTAAATTCGAATTTATCGCCAGCGATGTGAAACGGTTGGCTCGCTCAACATAAATATTATTGCAATGTTAACAAGTGTTTTATGTCGGTTGTATGATAGATTTTATTTTGGTGCCAAAAAGAGAAAATCTAGTTCATCGACCGAGCAACTCGCTGAGGTGGTTTGAATTGATCTTTAAAAATAGATTCGGGAATGTTTGGGACCGTTTTGTTTGAACAAATTAGATGAGGTAAACAAGTTTTTGACGGAAAAGTATTGAAAACAGTTCATGTCGGTCGATTTTAGAGTGCAAACACACAAAATGCTATCGCCAAACGAAACAATCATTGTTATTAAGTCGAAGGCTTGCCATGTTTTGTCAGTCATTTAATTAAATTGAAGTCACAATTTTTCCATTCATAATCGGTGAATTTTGAACAACAAGTGAGGTTAAATGTCAATTCAATGTGAGGGACAGAGACAAAGGGTGAAAGAGAGATGTTCGAGTGACGGGGACTCATAGAGACGACGAGCGATAGGGACAGCAAGACTGTAGATTGAAGATGACGACGCGAGTAAATATTGTTTTGACTTTTGTTGAGCGATCTCTGCGGGAGCATCTCTGTTGATAAGAGAATCAAGTGGAGATTTTTAATTGGAATTTGTGACGAATTATTTATGGAATGGTAAATAAAAAAATTAAATGAAATCACTTTCGAAATTAGTTCAGAATTGGTTGAAATTGTACACTTTGCGGATGAACGTTTGCTTGACTGGTAATGATTACCGTAAAAGGTGAAAATTGAAACAAAATCTCGTGATACAATCAGCAAAAAAAACAAGGTCGCTCGACAAACAGAGTGTCTTAACAAACTGAGTGAGTCGTCAGACAGAGAAGACTACGTACTTCCAATACTTAGCTGCCGATAAGTCATACACGACGATTGCGCGATCGAAAAAACACCATCCAAATTCTCTATCATAAACAAATTGTTTCACCAAAGCCATCGCTGCCAAATATTTTTCCTAGAAAAATTCCTTTCTCGCAGCAATTTACATCACGAAACAATCTGATTAGGTTTTGTTTGGTTATTAAATGAATGTACACAAAACATGTAGCTCTAAGCATCAAAGCTGATGTTTTGATTATGAAAATTGTTGTGCGTCACACAACCACGATAAGATTGCTACTGTCGTCTGAGTTCATCACATTTTTTTTGCGAGTTTGATAATTTTTTTCACCCACAAAAATAGAACAATCTTACGCACACGTTGATTTTCCATTTGTATGATCGACATCACTAAAATAGCAAGCCGAATGGAGAGAAACATATAGCCGGAGTCTTTTTGGTCATACAACCAAATCACGAATCGTGTATTATCACATTTTTTCTTGTTGTTGTCGGTGTCGTTTCTATTAGCCTTTGCTATAATCATTGAAGCGCGTAACGTCAGTCAAACCAGTCAAGCAAACAACATTCATTCAATTTGCCAGTAGATTTGAGAACACTGTGAGAGAAGACGAACACACTTTGGAATAGACATTATATAATTTTTCATTCATCGTTCTCTATTTTCATGTGAAGTATAGAGAATACGGTTCTTTTTAAGTGAACAAAATACCAAATTCGGATTGAATTACGTGCAAAAAGAAACGAGATTAAAAAAATGACAACATTAGCTCAAGTAAATATTTCTAGTATTTTTTGTTCCAATTTGCAGGCGATAAAACAGTAAAACGAGTCAAGTTTTTTTTTGTTGATATAAAACAAGCGGATTTGGTCACGGAAAAAGAGACATATTTTATAGAAAAAAGAAAGAATTTGGTAATATAAAGTTGGAAAAGTGTGATTATGACAAATATTGTTGTTGGTCTTACACGGAAAAAATTGAACAAAAAAAGTCGGCAAATACTCAAAGAAATACCATTTTTTACATTGAATAAATGCGAAGAGTTGGAAAAAAATAAAATAAAAGAACAACAAACATGGGCTTTGAATTAAGAAAAATGCCGAAAAAGTTAAAATAAAAATTCGAACACCTGAAGTTCGTGAGAATTCAGGGAGCCATGTGTAAAGCATGCTTTGTATGCGACAACATAGCATTGGTCACTTGATATTTTGAATAAGAAGAGAGAATTATGGAATTATGAATGACCTCTTTCACTCTCACAGTCTCGCACACAATCAGTGCGGAAACGATTGTTATGTCGTTTTATATAAAGTTGCACACTCAACTGTCGTATGTAGCGCACAATCTATCTGAATTCACCGACGACTGACGTTAGCGTCAAGCGAAAGCATAATGAATCAAAACAAAAATTCCAAAGTAAAAAAATTGATTTCTTTTAAGTTATAAAAAAATTGAAAAATAATGTTAATTAAAAAATCGAAAAAATAAAAGTTTCAACCAAATTCGACCGTAGGAAATTTCAATAAATTCTTGAAAATTGTTTATAAATAAAAATAAAATGAAAAAAGCATTGTAAATAATATGAATTTAAATTCAATCGTTTGTTTGTGTTTTTACAGGGTCCAATACATATAAAACGAGCGACGACTGAGAAGTTGCGTGAGACTTTCTTAAAATATGCATCACACCAACAGAATGGCGAATATTACATGACCACGGAGGATTTCATTCGAGGCTATCTGAGGCTATTTCCGGAAGCAAATTATAATAAGGTAAATATTAGCCTTGACACCAGTACAACCAAATGCTTGAGTATTAAAATATATTGTAGTTCAGCATTAGAATATGGTATTTTTAAATACCAAATGACCGAATGTTTACGTCACATTAGTATAAAGCATGCGGTTGTTCTTTTTTTCATTGCCAAAAAAGCTAATTTTTTCCGTCTATTCCAATAGGATTCAGTGAATTTGATGGGCAGCATAGCTGACACGAGTAAGGATGGATTGATATCATTTGCAGAGTTTCAGGCATTCGAAGGATTGCTTTGTACACCAGACGCACTCTACAAAACCGCTTTTCAGCTATTCGACACAAATGGCAACGGAACCGTCAATTACAATGAATTCTGTGAAATTATCAAAAAGACGGAATTGCATGCCAAAATCCCATTCCATTTGGATGGGCCATTCGTACAAAGATATTTTGGAAAAGTACGTCATGATTGTAAATTTGAGTTTTGCTTTGAGTACTTCAAGCGTTAATTTTATTTTGTTTTCTTCGAATTAGGACAAAAAACGGGCCATCAACTATGCTGAGTTCTCGCAATTGCTGCACGATTTTCACGAGGAGCACGCCAAAGAAGCATTTAAAAGCAAAGATCCAAATGGCACCGGCTATATTTCACCGATGGATTTTCTGGATATTATGGTCAGCGTGAAGAGCCATTTGCTCACACACGATGTTAAAGACAATTTAGTGGCTGTAAGTAGTGCTAAAAGTATCACAATTGAACTATGGAAATTAGAAGGAAATTGGTTAACACCAAATTATTTATAACGGAAACCATTTGGTATGGACCAATTTTTTTCGAATTTAAGAGTCCAATTTTACTAGAAATTCCATGACAAAAATGGATTTTCGAAGTAAGTAAAAAAGAAGTCTAATCCAGCTTTCTTTCTCATCAAATTCAGGTTACCGAAGGACGTAAAGTGAGCTTCGCTTATTTTATGGCCTTTAATTCGTTATTAAATAATATGGAGTTAATCAAACGTGTTTATTTGAATGCAACCGGTGGCAGCCGCTTAGAACCAATTACAAAAGACGAGTTACTGTTATCGGCACAGCTCATGAGTCAAATTACGCCGCTTGAAATTGACATTTTATATCAATTGGCTGGAGTGCTTCATCAGCCGGGGTAGGTGTCAATTTTGGTGTCTCAAAAATCTTTGTTTCTTTTTTTAACCCAAAGAATAAGTAAACTGGACCCTTTCTGATTTTTCTGCAATTTGTTGTTGTAACGACACAGTTTACTTGTTCTACCATATAGTTTCATTTTCTTTTATGTGAAGAAAAAATTGTTTTAACAATTTTAATTATGTTTCTTCCAATTTCCAATTATTTTTTTTTGTCGCAAGCCCGGACCTGTAAGATTTAACCTAATAGTCAACTTCTAATTTATCTTTCATTCATTCGTTTGTCCAACATTGTTTGACATTTTTAGACAAATGTCCATAAAAATCGCCTAACAATTTGCTTGAACAGAACGATGAGCGATTTTCGTGGAAAGTTGATAAATTGGTTGAGTTCATTCACCTCTCATTTTTCCCTTGCATTTTTTTCACTCTAACAGGCGACTATTGTATAGTGATTTGAATAATATTGCTCCAGAGCATTATACGAAAAGCATTACAGCACGGTTGACGGACATTCAAGCAGTATCCAGCCCAGACGATCGAGGCATTTTTATTCAAGTGCTGGAAAGTGCATACAGATTCACATTGGGGTCGTTTGCTGGAGGTAAGGAATAAGGAAATACAACTGAAAAAGAGTCCAAGTGAACTCGAACCCTTTTCACAATAATTAATTTTTCATATTTTTCAGCGGTTGGTGCGACGGCCGTGTATCCGATCGATTTGGTGAAAACTCGTATGCAAAATCAAAGAACCGGATCACTGGTCGGCGAAGTGGCATATCGTAATTCAATCGATTGCTTCAAAAAAGTCATCCGTCACGAAGGTGTGCTTGGACTATACCGTGGTTTGGTGCCGCAATTAATCGGTGTTGCACCCGAAAAAGCAATAAAATTAACGGTCAACGATTTGGTCAGGGACAAATTAACGCCAAAAGATGGTGTGTTACCATATTATTATGAATGTATCGCTGGTGCATGCGTAAGTATCACAATAATCACCAAAGCAAATTTTTCCAAATTTTTTTTTTAATTGTATGATTTCGATTATAGGCTGGCGCATCACAAGTTGTGTTCACGAATCCCCTGGAAATTGTAAAAATTCGATTGCAAGTGGCCGGAGAGATAGCTGGCGGTGGAAAAGTCCGTGCATGGCAAGTTGTGAAGGAGCTCGGGTTGTTTGGCTTGTACAAAGGTGCACGAGCATGTTTACTCCGTGATGTACCATTTTCAGCTATTTATTTCCCCGCTTATGCACACACGAAAGCAGCGTTTGCCGATGAAGATGGATACAATCATCCGCTTAGTTTGCTTGCTGCTGGTGCAATTGCAGGTAAAGAGTTCCCTTAATAGTATTTTTTCTTGCTATGCAAAAGTGCTTTTGTACCCATCCTCTATGAATTAATAGCAAATGGCGTTTCTATTCACTGGGAATCAAAGATTGAAATTTTTTCGGTCGAAATCTAATCCAAATTCTCTCTTTAATAGGTATACCTGCCGCATCGCTTGTAACACCTGCCGACGTCATCAAGACACGATTGCAAGTAGCTGCACGCCAAGGTCAAACGACATACTCGGGTGTGATGGATGCGGCATCGAAAATAATGCGCGAAGAAGGTCCTCGTGCATTCTGGAAAGGAACAATGGCTCGTGTATTCCGTTCATCACCACAATTTGGTGTCACATTGGTCACGTATGAATTGTTGCAACGAATGTTCTACGTTGATTTCGGTGGTTCAAGGCCGAGTGGTTCGGATGTAACGAAAACATCATCAACACTTGACACCACCAAAGTTCAAGTGAATGCTGATCATATCGGCGGTTATCGTGCGGCTGTTCCATTGATTACTGGCATCGAAACCAAATTCGGTTTAAGCTTTCCCAAATTTGCATCAACAATCCAACTAAAATCCACATAAATTTGTGTTGGAAAATCTCAAAACAAAAATTTTATTAATTAAATTGCATTTGAAACTTTTTTTCATTAAAAACAATGATTTTGGACATAAACACGAAAAACAACAACAAATTTGTCTTTTTATTCAGATTATAAACTGTAGTATTTAATTAGCTGTGTAATAAACAGGTGAATTGATGTAAGTTCAATGGCACCATTATTTACACACACACCATTCTGGTTTCATATTTTGTAATCGATAAAACAAACAACTGTACGGTTTTGATAAATATCTTAATGATTTTATTGAGGTACTAGTGTTACTCACCAAATACTCATTGAAAGTTAGCGGCTTTTTAATTCTCATTTTAAAAAATGGCCTTTTGCATAGACCATTAGGTAGTGCATGCTCTGATTTTGTGTGTGCATTAATGACGAAATATCAAGGTAAGTTTTATTACAATCTAAAATTGTAAAAAATACACCTGTTCAGCCCCTCTCAACACACGAATTGTATTATCAAAAGTCTTGCAGATTGAAGTGATATCGCCGATTTATTCATACCATAAAAATAAATTGCACGCAATTGATATTAAGGTGGCGTAAAAAAGTTTTTATTTTTCAAAATTCCAGATTAGTTTCACTGTATTCAGGGCCTAAAAATACGTCGTGCTTTTATCTTTTTCTAATTCAAATTTTTCACACATAATTTGTAGTATTATTTTTAAAAATCGACGTGGAATATTGAAAAAAGAACAAACGATTGCGCCACCCTAATATACATTGATACCACATTGCTTTAATCAACACAACTAAATGAAGTGATTGTCGTTAATTTTGATTTTGTAATTGCTCACAGGTCTTGATTCAACTGCTTTACTTGACATATGTTCAAGTAGCCTTCGTTGAGTACAGATATTTTTTCATAATTTTTTCTCAAAAAATATATTTTTTTTTAAATCGCGTATATTCACGAGATAGATGATGAAAATAACAAAATAAAGTGCTAAAGAGACAATGAGTGCATTCAATCAAACATTTTTACTTCCACAATGTGCAGCGCGAAGTGTTGGTCCAGCAAATCAACTCTTTATTCAATTAATACAAGCATTAATAACGGCACATTGTACCATACCCCAGCCAGACATTTGGCCAATCGATTATGGTCCCACTGCATGCGGTAAAAAGTCATTTTGTGAACAACCGCTATTTGTGTAAGAGTGAAAGAAAGAAAGAAGATATTTAAGACACCTCCAAATTCCTTCAATATCAATGAGAACAGTATCGGGACTCCACACTTTTCTCTTTCGTTCTCATACAAAGAGCAGCACCATAAGATATTTCGGCTTATTAAAAATATTTCCGTATAATGGAAATTTAGTGCAAAATATTCATTGAAACTTCTTTAAAATAGATGGTGAGACGTTTGATTTCGTGGTGGTTGGTGCTGGATCGGCCGGATGTGTGGTTGCGAATCGTTTGAGTGAAAATCCAAAATGGAAGGTTTTATTGGTGGAAGGTGGTGGTGATCCGCCCTTTGAATCGGAAGTGCGTCATTTTTGCTATTCCGTCTTCGTCGCACACTTAATTCATTTTAATTCGTCATTTCTTTCCTTCTTTTTTCTTTTATTTTTTCTAATGACGTTTTGCAGGTACCCGCAATGTTTGCCGCAAATCAGCGAACCGAATACGATTGGCAATTTTACGCGGAATCAAATACGGCCTGCAAAGCATTGAATGGCAGTTGTTTTTGGCCACGTGGAAAGTGCTTAGGTGGTTCATCGGCTATAAATCTAATGCTATATGTTCGTGGCAACGTTCGTGACTACGATCGATGGGCTGAGATGGGTAACGAAGGATGGGATTACGAAAGTGTTTTACCGTTTTTCAGAAAATCCGAAAACAATCACTTTTCACAATTTGTATACGAACATAATAGGCGGTATCACAGTGACGCAGGCCTATTGAACGTTGATTTCTACGGCGAGAGTCCATTTGCAAAAACGTATATAGATGCTGGAATCGAAGACGGTTACAAATTCATAAGTGACATAAACGCCGATGAATATATTGGATACACAAAAGTGCAAGGCACCTGTTATCAGGGTCGTCGACAAAGTTCGGCCAAAGCATTTTTGGCAACGGCCAAAAATAGAACAAATCTTCACGTGTTGAAATATGGTCTCGTTCAAAAGGTTCTGCTGAACAAAAAGAATCAGGCCTACGGCATTGAGTATGTCTGTAATGGGAAGGTCATAAAAGCCTATGCCAAAAGGGAGGTAATTATGTCGGCTGGTGCAATCATGTCGCCGGTGGTTTTAATGCTGTCTGGCATTGGTCCGAAAAAAGACTTGAAACGTCAAAAAATTCCACTAAAATGTGATTTGCCGGTTGGAAAACACCTTCTCGACCACATTTATACGTTGATTTTCTTTCAATTCGATCCAACACCAAGTGATCCACTCGCTGCTTATGATAACACATACAATTTAGCAATTCACAACACAGGAGGTTTAACAAATGTTGGTGTTTCAACTTTAAGCGCATTTGTTAATACAGACAAAACGGAGACGCTGCCAAATATTCAACTGATGTACTTTTGGTTCACAAAAAAATCACCGAACATTCCGGCTTACATAAGAACACGCCAATTTAATTATGACATTGCCAAAAAATTGACCGATATTAATGAAAATAATGACGTTGGAGCCATTTTGGTGTCATTACTTCATCCGAATTCCACCGGGTCCATACAATTGAACAGTAGCTCGATTAATGACAAACCGAAGATTTATCCAAACTATTTTAGCGTGCCCAGTGACTTGAAAACCATGATCAAAGCTATTCGCCATCAAGTTTCTTACACGATTAGCAAATCTTATTCGGCAAAACACGGAAAGTTTATTATGTTGCCTTTGAAGGAATGTAGTGGGTTTGTGTATGACACCGATGAATATTGGAAGTGCTATATTACTTACATGGCTGCTACTGAATACCATCCCGTTGGCACTTGCAAAATGGGACCAAAGTCAGATCGAGAATCAGTGGTTGATGAACGACTTAGAGTTCATGGCGTACAGGGACTACGAGTCATTGATGCAAGCATGTATGTATCCATATAACTGAAAATTTAGCAATGGTTTGAATTTTTGATAAATTAAATTTATTCTTTTTACAGCATGCCGTATATCACTTCTGGAAATACAAACGCACCGACCATTATGATCGGAGAGAAAGGCGCTGCAATGGTTATCGAAGATAATTTGCCTTTCTCTTCATCTTCGACATCATCGTCCTCTTCTTCTACGTCTTAATCTTCATTGCAAGCAAATATTAGGCGTGCATACATGGTAAAGTTTTGGGGAAACTTCTTTTAATACAAAAAAAAATTCGCCTCACACCAATTATCAAAAATTATCAAAAGTCATGAGTCACGACCAATAAAAATGATTTTCATTCATAAAAATGAATAGTTGAAACTTTTATTGAGCTTCATTTGGATTTTATCAACAAAGGCAAGTTTATTGAGAGATGGAGCTGGTATCACTCTTGAATACAAAGATCTAAAAAGGTTGGTTTGCATTCTATGTATTTAGATAATTTTGAGAATTCCCATGGAACTTGCAAGTTTGCAATTGACACGAGCTTTATTGCGACTTTTAGAAGCCATTTTACTAAAATCATCGTTCATTGAAGTTCAATGATTGAACCCTTTGGGTCCAAGTTTCAAATCTTCCTCACTCGAATGACATACAAACGGTCCATTCAAAGAGACCTTTTGAAACCTCAGTACCTTATGGAACGTTTTAACATACTATGGACTTCCCCAAGACCATCCAATCAAAATAGATGAGGAAAAAATGTCAGCGGCGAAAACTTCGATAAAAACCAGCAAATGTACTATTTTGAAGCGTATTTATTTGACAATATTTTCGAAAAATCAATTCATGTGTGTACAAAATCAGTGTTTAATTGTAACTTTTTCACTGTATAAAAACAATTACTTAATAATCAAAGGTTTTTTACTTTTTTGTTATTTTTTCGTCAATTCGACACTGTTAGACAAAACCAAAATCATGGTTCCAATCGAATGACTCTAAACGCTTGAGTTCGACAAGTTCACAGTCTACTGTATTTCCGGCCCATTTTGTAGCCAAAAAAACTTTCTCGTGAACATGCAACGATGTTTTGCCTGCGGCTTTCAATTTTGCCCGTTCTTTGCTCCAAATTGATACATCAACCAAATGACAATTAACCTCGTGTTGAAAGCCATACTCAAGTGATCGAACGCCCATACGTTCCAGTTTCACTGAATGACTGACAAATGCCATAATAAGTTCGGGTCCAGCTGAATCGACCAGAAGTTGTTGAAGATTGGTCAATTTTTTGGCCATTGTGTCAAGGTTTATGTCATTCAAAACAAACGGAATGCACAATTCAACCAGATTTCCCAGTGGAAAAAAGAACACCCGATCAAATCGAATCACAGACAACGATTGTGCGTGGAATTTTTCAATTCGTTTTTTTGATGAAATTTTGTTGAGTGTACTCTGATATGCATGATCCACATACAATTGTACATATTTATTGAGTTTGCGTAGTCTCTTCAGTGTTCGTTGAAAAGTCTTCGGTCGATCATATTCATGGACATCACACTGAATGGCCAAATCGGTGATCTTCAGATCCGCATTTTTTGCCCATTTCATCAATAAACACTGATCGTTGGTGGCAAATTTTTGAATATTTTTATTCAATTGAAAAAATGTGGTCAATTCGTTGAGGTGCGTACCCTTGCCGATGCCGCTCAATTCGAAATATTCTAATTTTGAATATTTACGAAGCAACCATTTGTTGTCTACGCCAATCACAGTACCCACTGGTTCATTCACGTTCACACACAATCGCTTCATGTTTTTACACCGCTTCAATAGTTTGTTGTAAATGTCACCGTCAATCGTACAACGGATCAATTCAACAATTTCGACCTTTTTCAACAATTTTTTTAGGCAATCAATTTTTGCGTCGCTCAGCGAAATTGCGTTCAGTAATATGCGATTGACACACTTGAAATCTTTTGATGCAGCAAATTCGAAGGATTTTATATGATCGGTTTGAAAGGATAAACATGAGACGGATGAACAGAACCCATTCACGCGAATCGAATCAATGTAAATTCCATCCGATTTACACTCGGCAAAAACAGCACAATAGGTTTTTTGAAAGGCACAACCAGCGATCCCCTGCAATAATTTACATGTTTCGCCAAATGCATGGAGTTCTTGCAGCGACAACCAATCCAATAGCTCCATGAAACAGTTGTTATTCAAGTCGAAAATATGTGAAGATTGCCCATTGATCGCAGCCTGTTTTTGGTGGATTTGTTTTTTTCGGTCATCAGGAACTTCGGATGTAGCCTCCAGACTGTCATCGACCTCCATTTTTATTTTGATCGATTGTATTGTTGGTTTTGATTTAAATCGGCTTTATGAGCCGCTTTCTATTGTGGTTTTACTCCAATTTGGATTATATTCGTACAGAAAATTTGGAAAATATTCAATTTTATCTCGGAATGAATTTATCGGTGTCAATTTTATCGCACACAAATAGACGTATTTTATATGAATTTTGTGCTGAGATGGCAATGAAGTTGGGCTTCATTCAACGCGTCAAGGAGACAGAACACAGTTTTATTAAGGTGAGCAACACCGTTGTCTCACTCTTTGGCAGGCTCAGATATTTTTCTTCTCGTTTCTTCGCCTTTTGTCTTCCTCACTATTTCGCTTATTTTCTAAATATCGAAGATGGCGACGCATTCGGCGAAAAACGCTACGAGTACAACAATCAATGTATTTCTCCTTCTGTCTCATACAATCTTTCTCCTTTTCTGTATATTTCCCACTCTTAAAGCATACTCTCTTACTCATACGCATACACACACTATCTTATCTGCCTCGATTCGGTCACACATACACACATTTCTAGTGTCATACACCGATTTACACAAAGAGGTCTGAGGCAACTAGAGAGCTTAACAAGCCTTTATTTCTGGTTGCGTGTATTGCTGAAGTAAGTTGAAAAATCCACAAAATTTTTCCTTTTTCCGAGTAAATACTGTGACAAACCATACAAATTCCAAAAAATACTCGAAAATCAATTCAAACCGTCCAAAAAAATAGTCGAAAATTTATTTGTCCTTCGGACATTGAAATTGTTTTGTCGAATAATACAAACACAGTGTAAACCAACCAGAACTCGGTGGAAACGTCAAACATTTATCCCGCACAAGAGTAAGGTTATACACATTTTTTGCTGATTTTACTTAAGTTCCAATTTTGCTGTGTCACTATTTTCCTTTTATTTGTTGCCTTTAGTGTCTATTTAACAAGCGTTTTTATTTTTGTCCGCTAGCCACAATGAGTTTGAAAGATGAATTGGATGAATATTTGTATTGTCTGGAGCGAGAGACGCAGGCCGCGTTGCCGAGAATCGAGAGAGAATTGGAACGGTCGGGATTGGTATTGAATGGGGAGTTTATCGATCGCTTTCACCGATTTACCATAAATCGGATTATGGAAACTTACGACAACTTTGAAATCGGTGCAATGTTCCATGAAAGTCCAAACCATGGGCGTGACAAGGACGTGCGCATATCAAAGAAGCGTCATTATAGCGGCGAATCAGATTATAATCGCAAGAAACCGAAGAAATTTAAGAGATGTTCAAAATGGAATGGTTCAAGATCAATTGATCGTAGACGCTCGTCCTTGTATTCCAGCTCATCACGTGAAACCATGAAAAATCGAGATCGAATGTATGAACAACGGCATGTGGCCAAACGTGAGCCGAATTTCAAAATACGCAATGACGACCGCATACCGCCACCAAATCAAGAAATGAACTTCGATTCAGACTTCGACATCGGTAGTTTTGATGCATCTTTTAAAATCAGTAAGTTTCTTCAAAAACATGTTATTTTCCAAAAAAAATGAAGAAAATCTTTTAATACTTTAATACAGCAGTCGACCCGTCCAAAGTGCCGCATACATTTTCGTTTGCCTGTTTCCATTGTTTGCCGGAAAATGGTGCCAATATTCATGGCTTCAATGGTGTTGAAGATGTTTATTTTCATTGGGTTGCATCACATGCACTCTCTAAAACCGAGCCATTCCAATTTTATCTCGTTGAAAACGTGGCCTGTTATTATTGTGACACCAACGGTTCATATCACCATATATTCAACCATCAAAAGCAGGTTCACCCAAAGGAACCAAAAGTGATTGTGACTGGGTTTGATCAAACGTGCGCCCTATGTTCATACGAAGGGAATGGAATGGCAAGCCATTTTATAAAGGACCACACACAATTGCCAACGCGATTGAATGACACCTTGACGAACGATATGTTGGCATGGTTGTTGGAGATTGATATGAGGAAAAAAGATGGTGACTGCGGCATAGAAGCAAATAACACAAGAAAGCTGTTGAGTTTTGACATGATTGACCATGTAATTTGTGGCTGCAAATCGAAGGTTCATCGACGTAATTATTTCGGTCACATTGAAAGCCATTTACTTGATTTCGATTGCAATGTATGCAAATCAAAGTTGCCATCATCAGTGCAGAAGTTTACTAGCTTGATCGATGTGGTGAAGCATGACAAGGACGCCCATCAAATGAATCAATCGTTGATTCCACGCTCTTGGCAAATGGAGGATCAATTCAAAAAAGATCATTTGAATACGAAGATTGTGTTTAAAAATGGTCTTGTGGTTGCCATGCGCCATTTGGTCAACACAAAATTCGACATTTCCATCAAATTCAATGAATGCGTTCAGATTTTATTGGACGCCAAGAAAAAGGAATGCAATCGATTGATGCAAATCGAAGACATTTCGCAGAAGACGACAAAAGTCGATGTACCAGTATTATCAAGCGGATCTTTAATTTCTGACGAGCAATTGGAGCTGCAGAAACAAAATCAACTCATCAATGACGTATTTATTCATGGCATTCCCTATAAGGACAATGAAGATTTGGTGTCGTTGGTATTGAAAATGAGCAAATTTTTGGGTGCAAATATTTATCCGGAGGACATTGCACATGTCAAACGGCCCTCACGTCACAAAGCGATTATTACACTCCGATGCACCAGCCAGGAAGCCAAGGCTGAACTTTTGAAATACAAAAGCATTCATACCACAGACGTTATCCCTTCAAGTCGTGACCATTTTCGGAAAATCCACATCAAATCACTGACCACGAAATATGTTACCAATCTGATGAAATTTGCAAAAGATTTTGCTCAACAAAAGCTATTGCACCATTTTCAATGGACTGAAAAAGGTCTGTTTGTAAAACGGTCAGAGAATTGCGATGGCAAATACTTTATGAACAAAACTGAACTGATAAACTACGTGAAGTGAGCGCAACAGCTGACAAATAATAATCAATTGAACAAAATAGTTCTAAATTTTTTTTAGAAAATTTGATTCCATTGTATTTCAAACTAAATAAAGACATTTTTTATCGATTTTTTGTCTTTTTTTGTGGGGTTTTTGTTTTGTACAGATAATGGGATGAAGAAGATGTATTTCTATCTGTAAATTGGCATATGAATTTTAGTTAGAATGGATGCTTTGTATTTTTCCCACCTCTTCAATTTAAAGGCTTTTCCCATCTCTCGAAAGGTTCTTTTCATGTGCCGATGAGCATCTTTTATTTGAAAGCGAACTCTAAAAAAGACACACACGTGACTTGCACGTGATTTTTTCTGGTTTTCGATGCCAAATCAGGTCATTATTGCGAACAGATCGTCGGGTGCAAAAAACCTTAAGAGTCAACTTTTGGAAATATTTCTGGTTCTAATTTAGCTCATAATCTAAATAAATACTTCATGGATGTATTTTTGAGAGAAATATTTATTGAATTTTAATTCATAGAAAAGAATAAAGAATATTGGAATGTGTCGTGTTTGATTATTATTTCATGTTTTTATGATTTTTAATTTTGATCAAATTCGGTAGAATTTCAGGTTCCAGATCAGACCTCTGCTCACATCTGGATCATTCTCCAAGATTGGATCGTCATGAAATTGTACTTTGAAATCGGAATCCATTTGAACTTCGGACTTCAACAAAAGGCCAGATGCACAATTTCTGGGTGGATTTAGCTCCAAGCGAATCTCGTGCATGGATGAAGGTTTGATAAGAATTGGATTGGGCAATGATACGTACACTGCCAATAATCCCAATTTTTGTTCTCCTTCAAACAAAACCACCTCTCCGTCACTTGATGGATCCTCTGCGATTGGCATTCTAACGATCGTTATCTTCACCGATAGGTGCTCTTTTAAGTTAAAATATTGGTTATTGCGATTTTCGAAAAAAAAGCCGCTAAAGAATCCATTTAGAAAGGCCGGCTCATTGATGGAGAATGTGGTTGTTTCCAAGTTTTTGATGAAATATGGTAAAGTCGACCTACGGCTCGAAATAAGTCGATTGCACTTAACAACCACCTTGTTTTTCGACGGATCAACTTCACATCTCTTTGCTCGGTTTCCATTAAACATCTTTGGCTGGAAATCATCGTCTGCAATCATTTGAATGATGTCCTGATGTTCGCAAATTGAAAACAATTCTCCATAAGATGGGATTAAGCTAGCAAATTCTTTGAGTGTCATTGATCCAAAGCGAATGTCATAAAATATGCGGCCGAGTTTATCTTGCACCATTTGTTTCGTCACGATTTCCTCTCCGCTTGTAGATTTGATCCATGCCATACAAGCTTCGAAGAGCTCAATTTCAGAGCATGACAACCAATTCAACCGCACAATCCGGGACAGTGTCTTAGCATCGCATGTCAGGAAGTCAGTCGATTTGAGTACCGCTTTGGCGTTGTAGCCGATCATCTTTTCGCACGATTCCATCAACTTTTTCTGCTCGAGAAGCACCGCCAGTTCGTAACATTCCACGTTGTTGTTTTCGTCCAACTTCCGTTTCAAGAACTTCTCGCAAACCATCAAACATTCGGCAACATTGTATCTATGGCCCAATTTCATGACCTTGGCCACATTTTCTGTGGTCATCGTAACAGGGTCGAGGTAAAAGAATTGCAAAAATTCCTTGAAAACTTTCGCTGTTGTATCCACGATCTTCACCTCTTTTTTCTCTATCCACGATCCATTGAACATGGTGGCAAACACATCGCTGGCAGCGATCAAAAATGTTTTGTGCGCCGGAACGCGTTCGACTGGTTTGCCTTTGGACTCAAACACGAAGTACACATCGGCCAGTTCGGTGTTCAGATACAACTTTTTTCCAATTCGAGAGAGCAATTGAGTGGAGAAATCAACTTGAGCCAATTTGGAATTCGACATGATTTTTAATCTGTGAAGTGATACAACACAAAATGAGTTAGCTCGCCAGATATTGTTCAACAATTTTGAGTTACTTACGTATCAAATAGCAATGAGGGTGAAAAAAAAATTGAGATTTGCCTTCGTGAAGATAGAAATTTTGAATATTAATTATTCAATCGATGATAGGAAAATAACTATTACTTTTCCGCACACACCTAGTGTGTAAGGTAAAGTATTGGAATCGGTCGAAAAATTAACACCCTCAAAAAACATGTTTTCTGGGTGTTTTAGGAGCCGGGGAACACGAATCTAGCGTTTTTTCGATGTCCGAATGTATGTGCGTACCCTGTACCCTGTACCCTGTACGCTGTACCCTGTACGCAAAAATTTGTTAACACGATAACTTTCAAACAAGAAAAGTAATTCAAAATCTGACTTCACAGGATGATTGGGGGTGCCGAGGAATAGAAACCATTAGATTTTGAGCGACTTTGGTTGACAGAGTAAAGTGTCATGTCTGGTGTGATGCCCATGGCCATCCATGGGAAAAATTCAATTTTTCTTCCAAAAGTGATATTTAATGTATTCTTAAACATCCAAAAATATGTATTGGGGGGTTTTTGGGTACGAGAAAACCGAATATGACATTAGTTTTGCGATACAAATATATTTCGACACACCTTTCATACAAATATTTCAAAAAAATTGGATTTTTGTATGGAAGCCATGCCTGTATGATATCGTAATGACCTGAAACTTTGCACAGGTTATTTTTATCACACAAAAATAACATTCCGAGAGTTTGAAGACATTTCAACTCATATTAGGGGTACCTCCCGAACAAAATTTTGGATTTTTCGCTCAAAAACGAAATTTTGTATGGGAAGTACCCTTAATATGCATTGAAATTTCTTCAAACTTTCAGAATGTTAATTTCTTGTGAAAAAAATAACCTCTGCAAATTTTCACATGATTACGATATCATATAGGCATGGCTGCGATATAAAAATTCCCATTTCTAGTAGTTTTTGTATGAGAAGTGCTTCGAAAATTATTTTTATCGTAAAACTAATGTCAGATTCAGTTTTCTCGTGAATTCTTTGAGTAAAAGATTTGTAATAAATGCATGTCGTGGATCACAGTGCGGAAAAGTTCATCTTACGGATGTAAGACATTTTATTTTTATTGGGAGAAACAAGTGAATTTGACGATTTCGGACGATTTTAATATATTTTATCGGAATTACACAACATGTGTTAATATGAGTAGTTTGGAATAGGTTTGCTATGGCACACGCTAAATGACAGCTAATGCTACTTTGTGGTTATGTTTTATTTCATTTCGCCCATGTTCGCCACAAAGTTATTGTAGAGCCAAATTTGACTTATAATACAGAAAAACATGATTTCAAAAATGTCATAAATTCAAATAAAATGCTTTAAATAAACCCATCTAAAGTTTCCTTCATTTCCATCCCTTGCACTTCTCATTCATTGTCTCCATTTAACACATTGAAATAAAAGGAAAAAAGCTTCGAGTCAAATAAAATCCCATTGTTAATCTAAAAAAATGATGAATGAATTTAATTTGAAAATCGTTGGTTTTATTTGAATTTAAAGATTGCCAACTTCATCTTGGTACGTTAAATTACCAACACATACATTGTTATTGCCTTTATTCTCGTTGCCAACTTAACAAATTGATTATATTATATACAGAGTACTGCGCAATAAAAGCATACCAGACAGAAGGAGACGGCCATTTGACGGAGAAACACGTAATTGCCCTCTATTTGCGCCCAAAAATATTGAATATTTTAAAGGTGAGTTTTAATCATTATTATTTAAGAGTGAGAATCAGACATTGAATAGACGTAATTGAATTAGTTCTAGTCCAAACAAGTAAATTAACAATTTTCCTTGGGAATTTTTCAATAAAATCATTTTGATCGCTTTTTTTGGAATATAATTTCTCAATTTTTGTAATAATAATAATTATTCTATTTTTTGGCGTTTACATATTAATTTTAATTTATAGTCAATTTAAGCAATTTTGGATTGAAAACATCTGTTTTATCCAATAGAGAATAAATTTTCTCGATTTTCAATACAGTTGGTGTTTCTGAGAATTTGCTAGTTTTTTCCAGAACATTCTTTGTTAACGAAAATTTTCCATGACGTCACGGCCTCGAAAAAAATTGATTTAATACTTATTCGCTAAATTATTTACACGAACTTTTTCTTCTTGGCAACAACAAGTGTGCCTTTACGGAATTATTTTTGTTGAGCTTTTGAGATTCAATCAGTGTACAACCGAAAATAAAATTTTAAAAATAATAAATTCCAATATAGTTCTTACAGATTCAAGAAGGGTCATCATGGTCTTCAATTCAGATCCAGGTGAAGGTACCTCAGATGGTCGAGTTAAACGCAAGCGAAAACAAAATCCAAGCAAATCAAAGATCAAAATCAAAATCGAAAACGATGCCAAAGTGGAGCCAATTGACGACGCGTATTTGGTTCAGTACTCGCCACCACCATCACCAATCGAAGCAAGTGGCAAAATTAAATCAGAGAGCGAGAGCGATGACGAACTGGATTTGAAAAGCTTCCCTGATTATATGAAAACAGAGATCAAGACCGAGAAAGACGAATCAAAGAAGAAATGTGTCGCTCCAACAGATGGAAACTCAAATAAAAATGCTAGAGATGACCACGATGGTACGAATGGAGCCAACTCGAAAGGAAATGTAAATGATAACGAAGAACAGCATCAAAGTAAGCTGAAAGCAACAAAGAAAAGAAGAATGAAGAAAAATGACAAACAAAATGTCCAGTTTGATTCAGCTGAAACAAAAGATGGAAAAAAATATAAATGCAATTTGTGTAGTTATTCTGCAACGTATAAATATATACTCATGAGGCATATGCGAACCCACACAGGCGAAAAGCCTTTTGAATGCGAAATATGTGAAAAGCCTTTTACACAAAAGCATCATTTGAATCGACACAAGAAAGTCCATGCCACCGAATTTCCATTCCATTGTCTAAAGTGTCGTCGTGGATTCAACAAGGAAGTTGAAAAGATTGAGCACGAAAATCAATGCCAACAGCGTCAGTATGAATGCATTGTATGCAAATACACCACTGTCATTTCCTCCCATTGATAACAACAAAAGATATTAATAGTCTATTCAACACCTTTTCATTTAAATTACTTTTTCTCTTCAATAAAATAAATTATCATTTCCAAATCATTATTACCATCAACTGAATTGCATCAAAAATACTGGAAATTCAAATAAAATGCATTGAATAAACCCATCTAAAATTATCTTCATTTCCATCTTTTGCATTTCTCATTCTTTGTCTCCATTTAATACGTTGAAATAAAAGGAAAAAAGCTTCGAGTCAATCAAAATTTCATTGCTTACATCAAAAAATGATGGATGAATTCCCCTTAAAAATCGTTAGTTTTATTTGAATTTAAGGATTGCCATTTGCAATCAATTCTATTAACCAAGCATTCGGTGGCTGTCAAATGTGTAAATGTCACCAATTGGAGTAATAAAGCGAAATCGTCATGCTGCTGCTTTAGAAAAAGGAATTCAAAATAATAACAAATTAACTTCCAAGAATAAAGGAATAATTAGTTTCATTTATTTTGACACATTATGTAATTGTTACTTTAAAAAAAATACAATTTATGATGAAATGGAACACACGTAGTAGACCAAACACAACTTTTCTTGACTGTATCAAATATTTGTAAAACATTCACTTCGTCTCAGCCATGGCTTTTAGTTTTCCGAATGTTAATTGTGAAATTTCTGTCTCGCTCAAAAATATATCATAATTTCGTTCTAATCTCTGCTTAATATCCGCACTAATCAACGAATCCATGCCCAAACTGACGAATGGTGTTTGATCTGATATACTTGCAATGTCCTTAATTTCCAAAATACTGGCAACGCAGTCGACCAATGACAAATCACTACTGATATCTTTATTCTTTTCAGCGACGACCATTGAGGAAAGTACGGCGTCCGACTGTTGCATAAACACATCAATGGCTTGCAAAACCGATGTGATACGTTGTGGTAGTACACCTTCAAAAACCGAGTCATTGTCGCCTGTATGATTGATAAACATGCCAGTGTCTCCGATGGCTCCCCATTGTATCGCTGTTCCAGGTAATCCAGCAGCTTGTCGACTTTCACAAATTCGTTCCATGGCTGAATTGGCCAAACCATAATTTGTTTGTCCACGAAGACCTCGTCCGCTGGCTATACTTGAAAAGCAGACAAAATGCTTCAATCCGGGGCATAGCTCACGTGAAACAGTATCCAAATGTTTGGTCCCATTGATTTTTGGCATACAAACCGCTTTGTAATCGTCTTCTGTTTGATTTTTCAATAAATTAACACGCAAAATACCAGCCAAATTGAAAATTCCAGCGACTGGTCCCAATTTGTTGGCTTCTTTTAGTAAATTCTCCGCTCCCACCAGTGTTGTTATGTCATTTGTATCAACTAAAACATTAACACCCTTTTCGATCCAACGACGAATCATTAGTGATTGATAACCAGTCTTAACACCACTACGTGATGTCAATACCAATTTGGTGGCACCACGTTTTACCATCCAATTGGCCATTTCCAAGCCAAGTCCACCCAACCCTCCGACTAACACATACGATTTTTCACTGTGAAAATAAGTTCGTGGAATGGCAGCAATTTGTTTTGGTACTGGCTTTTGCGCGGCTCGAAATTCCTCGTTGCGCACTTTAATAACGACTTTACCAATGTGCTTGCCGCCGGCCATAAAACGAAACGCTTGCTGAACTTGTTTGTCACTAAAAACAGTCGTGGGCAATGGTCGAACGGCTCCGTTTTTAATACCTTCAGCAACCAAATCGACAACAGTTTCAATTGTTCCGTCATCACTGGCCATGATACTGTCCAATAAAATACCATGAAATGAGGTGTTCTTCAAGAACACCGACATGCCCAGCGGTGAATTATTGTTCAAGTCAAACTTTCCGATCTCCAAGAATCGACCGTTCAGACCCAAACAGCGAACTGACGCCTTCAGCATTTCATCAGCAAGTGAATTTAGTATTAAATCGACACCTTTGCCATTCGTGGCATTCCTAATAAATTGCTCAAATGATGTGTCACGCGAATTTCCAATGTGAGCATCCGTCAATTGTGGAAATGTCTTTTTCAAAAATGTACGTTTTACTTTGCTACCAACTGTTGTGTAGACGGTCAATCCATGATGTAAAGCGACACGAATTGCTGCTTGACCAACACCACCGCTACCAGCATGAATTAGAATCGATTCACCTTTTTTCATTTTTCCTCGGACCACCAGAGCATAGTAGACCGTTGAATAGACGCATGGAACAGTTGATGCTTCTTCCATAGTCCAATCGCTTGGAACTTCCCACATCATATTCCGTTGGGCGACACAAGTTGTTGCCAGTGATTTTGCTTCAACCATGGCCATTATACCTGGGATTTTATCAAATATCAATTATTAATTTTTTTATTGAAAAAAATATTTGCTTTGCGGAAAATTCTTACGTTTTCCACTCGAATCCCGTCCCGAAAACTCCAGTCCAAGGATACAATCATGAGTAGGTAAATTCCCTGGCAATGCGTCAATGGCCAATTTTCCAGTGCTTAACATGACGTCACGAAAATTGATTGGTGCATAATACACCGAACACAATTCAACTCGTTTATCCATCGGGTCAGGCATTTGACAGGTCAAGCGGCTTTCGATCCATGACAAACTCGTCAAATCACCCTTGGTTAATGTGTCCACATGAGCATGTTCAACTTGACGCACCGAGTTTTTGTTTGACGCACAATTCAATTTCAAGTGTCTATACGTTCCCCATTCACCGTTTTTATACACATTAAACATCAAATCCATTTTCAATTGTTCCTCATATGCTTTGTTTGTAAATGAAAATCCCTCAGCATCATCATTTTGAATGAAGAATAACCGTGCCAATTGGCCGCCATTTTCAAGCTTTAAACAATTCATAAAACCGCAAGCACCCGATAGTTGTTCGCCTTGTGCAACAATGTATACATAAGTGCCGTCTTCTTCGGCCGTAGCAAAAGCTGACTTTAATTGTTCGACGTAGGAAAAATCGCTTTCGGTGAGATAAATAACCAATTTATTTCGAGCGTTGATATCGATTCGTGGACGCAACAAGACATAGTATTTATCTGTTGCGCATTGCAGTGAAACTATCGCCAAATTGAGGTTAGCAAATAGCTTCTTCGGTTTGGTTTTGTCATAATCGAAAATATTCTCCTCGAGCAAAATAAAACCATTTTCACGAATCGATGCTTTGAGATTCCTCAAAATATTCGTGGCATCGGTACGTGCGATGACGTCGTACGCAACAATCAAATGACTGTTTGATTCAACCGGACCAGTTCTTGGATCTTTGACAATAACGTGTTCATACTCATTCTTCGATTGACTTGTCACATATGCTATTTCGCTGGTTAATTGTGGTTCACTTTCGATTATACTTTCAATTATTTTCGCAAGTGTTGTTTCGATCTTTTTACCTTCAACAACATCGGTCACTTTGATCTTGAATGCACCACCACTGTTTTCAATGGCCAAGTGTGTGGCAGCCGTGATTGCATTCAAACGTGCCACTTCGACCGTATTTCCCAAATCTTCGTCGGCATTATTGAGCGGTACATAAATATATCGTTCCAATGTGGGTGGATGAAAAGTGCCTGAATGACGTGGAGCTAATGCAAATTTATAACCACGCACCTCAACACCACCCGCATTAAAAATATTCAAATTTTTATACATATAAATTGGTACGTCGGTGCCACTTTGAACAATCTCTAGATGTTTGATTGGATTGATAGAAATACGTTCAAAATGAACGGGCACGTATAATTCACGTAAATCTCTGCCCAGAATACAAAATTGGAACATAGTATCGATGAAAGAAACCCAATTTTCTTGCCATTTCAATTTACCAGCAACAGCTTTTGAATCGGATAAGGTGATGCCACAAAATTTACCACCATAATCATAACCGCGAAGACCTAGATCCATGTAGATGTCGTCAGTGGTCAATGCAAGTCCCGATTTATCTTGTTCAAGTGGTGGCAATGATAATGATTCGTGCACCGTGTCATCGAAAACAGAAATTTTACCCGATACAGTAAGTGAATTACCTTCACAGATGTCAAATTGACCAGTTCCATCTAGGAAATTGATGGCAAATTTAACGGAACCATCTTTTGATAGAATGGTTGCACGGTGGAAAACAATATTCTCAAAGATGACCGCAGTTTTTTCGAAATCGGTATTATTTCGCTTGGCAAATGCACGCCATACCATTGTCAAGTAACCGCTCGCTGGAAACAATATACGACCATCTATTTTGTGACCAATCAAATAGGAGTCAGACGGTTTCGATAGATTTACTTCAACAATCGTTTCAGTTGTGGGCGCTGGAAGAAATTATTGTGGATTCTTTAAACACCGTATATTGAAACAACAATTTCATGGAACTATAGGTGTTGACACTTTCGAGGGACCTGATTGGATCCATTGCATAGGCGGGCAGGGAGTGTTTCTGTGTTTTGCCTTACGAGACTCCTCGAGCAATATTCATGAGATTCTTTCTCATACCACATATTCACCAAAATACTCCCCCCACTTGATTCCACTCGGATCAAAATCAATTTCGGGGGACTTTGGTCCGAGTGGAGTCGAAAAAACCCATGCAGTTTTTTACAATCGACTTTTTTGGATTTTGTTGAGGTTTCCTTTTAGATTGTTGCCTCTGACATCAACACCTATACTTCAACGAACTATTCTCAATTGAAATAAAGAGTTTTTCTATCTATCAACTTACCGTTCGATGCATATTTTCGAATGGGAAAACGTTGGACATGTTTCCATCCGATTTTCGAGTTCAACATCGGTGTTCCACGGCCTACTGGATATGAAACGGGTTCATAAAGTTTGGAAATTTGTGGTTGAGCTCCAGCTGCATACAATCTGATATTTGAAATTAAAATTGTTTTTTTGGTTCGAAATATTGAGATTACGTTGCTTCACTTACTTTCCAATGTTTTGCAGAAAGAAAACAGCATTATTTGGGTGTTCGGACTTGTTTAAGCTCAAAACGACGCCTTTATCGCGTAAATACCGCTTCAAAACAGATACTGCCATAACATCCGGTGCAATTTCAATACAAATCGCATTTTTTGGTAAATGCTGTAACGTTTCTTGTCCATAGACTTTTGACAAAAAATTATTCACATGATATGCAGCCGAATTTGTTCGTGCAATTGGCGATGACCAATCTTCTTCACGTAAACTTGTACTCAGCCATCTCGGTGACCGTGGTTGTGGATTTGGAAAGATTTTTTCGAGTGCTGTTCTTATTTCCGGTGCAGCCGCAGCTACATATTTAGAGTGAAATGCATAGCCAGATGAATTGATTTTTTGCGCAAATATACCGTCAGCAATGAGCTCATTCATAAATTTTGTTACGGATTCAGGTAAACCGGAAATGGTAACATTTTTTTCACCGATGTGAGAAACAAGTTCGATGTCAGCGGGAATACGAGCCTTGAGAAATGAAAAAAAAAATGAACATAAAAAAAGTCTGTAATTGCTACGAAAAGTCCACGTGTACCAAAGCTTCTTCCCATGATAAACTAACAACGGCCATCATTCCGGGCTGTAAATTACTATCAATCACACAACGACCTATCCAGTAAGTAGCCAAAATAGCTTGTTCCAATGTTGAACAACCATCTGCATAGCCACAAGAAATTTCGCCGAGTGATTCGCCCATAATTCCGTCGGGAATGATCCCTAAGTGCGCCAAAACATCGGTTAGCGCAATTTGAACAGAAATTATCGAAACACCAGAGTTTATGATATGATCAAAAGTTGATTCATCACTATTTATTAGAATTTTTTCAATCAAATCATAGCCAAACGGTCGTAAAACGTCTGCACAACGATTGATCGTGTTTCTGAATGGTTCCAAAACCATCAAATCTTTAGCCATGCAGGCCCATTGCGTTCCAAATCCGGTGTAATTGAACCAAATTGGTCGTTTTTCAGTCGGAACTTCATGCACCTCACGGTTGTTTGGGTCGGCAGCATCGCCATTAACGACAATATATCCTCTATAATTGTGCATTGGAATATTTTTGGAGTGAATTTCATTAATTAAACTCAAGAATTCTGTGTCGTTTGCATTTTTCTCGATTTCTTCCAAAAGCAAATTAACAGCATGCCTTGTACGACCCGACACCACAACTAAATGTGGAATTTGATCGTTTGTAGTCATTGTTTTTTGTTTTCGATTCGATTTTAAGATGACGTGGGCGTTAGCGCCGCCAAAACCGAATGAATTCAAACCAACGATGCCACCATTCCATGGTGTATTACGATCAACGACTTTCAGGCGACCATCAATAATACCGTGTAGATCTGAATTTGGTACTTTGTAGTGCAAGTTTCCTGGTATAACTCCGGCTTCCATAGCCAAAAGAACTTTGGCAATTGAGCATACACCGGATGCTGGTTCCGAGTGTCCCATATTCGATTTCACCGCACCAATCAGCAATGGATTCGTACGATCTTTGCAAAAGAAATCGGTGATCGAATTGACTTCTTGTGAATCACCAACTTGCGTACCAGTACCATGAGCTTCGACATAAACAACATCACGAGGATGCAATCCAATTTCATCGTATGTCTCCGCAATCAATCGACACTGCATTTCGCCACTTGGATATGTAATGCTTTTATCTTTGCCACCATCGGTGTTTGTGCGAACATTCAAAATGGTGGCATACACTCTACGAGCTCGACTTGTTTTTTGCAGAAATATCACGGCGCAACCATCTGATCGCACATAACCAGATCCACTTTCATCGAATGCATTGCATTTTCCGTTGGCACTTAACATTCCCAAACGATTGAATTGCAATGAAATGGTCGGTATCAAAAGAAGATTCGAACCGCCAACAATGGCCGAATCACATATCCCATTTTTTATATCGGTAAAAGCCTGCGACAAAGCGTACAACGAACTCGAACAAGCTGTGTCAATGGCGTAGCTTGGTCCTTTGAAATCAAAACTGTACGAAATTCGGTTGGCCATCATTGAACGCTGACATCCAATCAATCCATAGCCATTGACGCGATTCGCATCAGCTAGCAAATAGTCTTCGGTTTCTGAACTTGATACACCAATATAAACACCGGTACGAGTGCCACGTAGTTCTTGTGGATTAACACCGGCATCGATGATTGCCTCGTGAGTGGCTTCAAGTAACATTTTCATTTGTGGATCCATGCATTCCGCCAGCTTTTGATGTACACCGAAAAATTGAAGATCGAATTTTTCCAAATCGTCTGTTTTGATTTTTCCCAGGCGACTTGGTAGATCGTGTAAACCATTCGGCCAACGTCTTGGGTCATCGTTTACCATGTCGACGCCATTGAATAGATTCGCTTTGAATTCTTCGATTGATGAACTCTCTGGAAAACGTCCAGATATACCAGAAATAACGATTTCATCCGGCAATTTTTGATAGGTAGATTGATCGGATTCTAGATCCAGTGGAGTAGGCATGCGGCCTTTTTTAGCTGTTACATCATCGAATCTAGCAGGCATTTTCGACACTTTTTTCTATTTCTGGAAGGAGAAAGGAGAATCTTTTCTTTTCTTTAAAGAGAAGCGAATTTGGAAGAATGAATGAATATATTGCGGTACGTACATGGTTGACAAAGTTACACTTTTAGTTATAAAAGAAAAAGATTAAACTGATCGACCTCTGCGAATGTTACCTTTTATAGACAAATTTAAACCATAAAATAGCACGATTTAAATGAAAATACACGATTGATAAGTACACGATCTATAAGTTATGAATGGACACGACAATCGTGACTCATCTTATGCGTGACCGGAGGTCGTCTTTTGTCACGTTTTTCCTTGACATGTTGTATCACGAAACAATTGTTAGAAAATTACGTCTGTTAAAAGAAAAAAGAAGAATTGCAGCCAATGTGGGCAAATTCAGAATGTCCAAGGGAGGCGGTATTTTGAAAAATGGAATCCAAAAGAATGACTTTGAAAATCTCAAAGAAAAAACCTTCAGCAAATCAAAATAATTTTCCAAAAATCCATTCGATACCTAGTCTAAGACCGTGGGTCACCAAAAAAATATTATTCAGAGGAAGGGCGGTAAACCTGGAAAACCACTCCCCTCACCCATGTATGGTTGTGATCATAACACTTGCGCTTTTTACTGTCACACGCGTCTATAAAAACAAAGTATAAAAACACGAAAGACGATTTATGACCAGAAAACATCGTGACTATTAAAGAAAGCTTTGATCATGCTGCTTACGGCATTTACTGTTTTCTATAAAACGAAAAAAGTACTTCGTTAAAAGCCACTATTATGTGTTCGCAGTGCAACTACACTGATTGATTTGATTGTGATGGCTAAGACCGGACTGAATTTGATATACATTTTACTATTTTCCTTTGTGATTTGTGGCAAAGGCGACGATTTCGATCTAGATGATATTACTTCGTCCATTTTCGATTTTCTCAATTTGGAAGGAACCATAAAAGACAGCCTTCTACAGAGTGTCGTTAATTTGAATCTTAATGAAATCTATGAAGAAGCATCAACTTATTCAACATGCTTAAAAGATTTGTCCCATATTCGAGAGGGATTATTGAAATTTGAAGAGTTGCCATTGAAAAGTAAATTACTTCTTGAAATTTCAAATGAACATGTGATTAAATTCGCTTTTTGGTGCTTTCAGTATTGGATTCATGGGGAAAAATACCGTCCGGGATGCTCAATGGAAATAAATATGAATTTGGTGAATTTTTGCAGTGCCTGGATATCAATGAGAGAACTGACAAGCCGTTCAAAGTGCAATATTGCCTGGGACAGATAAATTTTGATGCTGTAGAAATGTTATCAAAAGCAAAATGGATACAATCCGAAGTGAACTCTCTTCAAAAAGAGATAGCAAACTCCAAAGTATCCAATCAAACTTATCTTTATGCATTTAATTTTGGGATATGCTTGCCCCGAAGTTGCACACCAACTCTACTTGAACACGGTATCAATGATGTGATTTTGAAAAAAATTACTGAAAAAGTATCCGTATCATTTTCCGAAGATTACTGCCAATTCGAAGAAACGCCGTCTAATTTGACTTCACTTGATGTGGTCACAATGTGAGCATGATATTTTTATTATTTTTAAACGATTTTTATTCTACTTTTTTCTAGCTGTGTATTGGCACTGTTTTTGTTTTTGATTGTGGTGAACACCTCATATGATGTCATACTTACGATTACAAAGCGTAAGTCACACATGCTTCAACTATTATGGCAAATGAAAGAAACTAACCGAATTCGATGATATTTTTAGGTGAAAAATCTCAAGCATTTTTGGCGTTTTCATTTTATTCGAATGGCTTGAAGTTGTTTTCGCAGAAGAAGACAGAGTCGACGGAGGATACGATGCAGTTTTTACATGGAATACGCGTCATATCCACCATGTGGATAGTGCTTGGACATACATTTCTAATGTACCTTTTTATACCAGTTCGAAATAGCATGTGGTTACTCCAGGTAATTTCATTGATTCACTTACAATAATAACCGCTCGGCTACCGACTCGATATATCGGCAATCCCATTCAAACGTGACCGAAGTTCAGATAAATTTGGAAATGGATGAAAAGTGCTTTTTTGGGAACAAAAATCCAAATGAGACCTATGGGTCCAGACAATATATTTAGCTGCCGTCATCTGGATATTTCAGCTCATCTGGATGCCGTCAGCAGATGATGCGAAGTGAAAACAATAGAAGTGATTATTATAGTAATACCAGTATATAACAAGCTTATATACCTATAACAATCACTTCTATTGTTTTCACTTTGTATTATCTGCTGACGATATCCAGATGAGCTGTAATATCCAGATGACGACAGCTAAATATATTGTCTGTATGGGTTCGTCACTGTCTTAGAAAAAGTGTGTCCGTTCGTTCGTACGGTCAAAAAGACAAACTTTTTATCGGTTTTTCCGTCCGGATGAAGGGACACATTTTAATTCGTGGAAGGACCCCCGGAGTCCGAAAAATTTCTGTGGTCACATTCGAATGGAATTTCCGTCTCACATATCTTTATTTATTTCAGTTTAAAAGTCAATATCACAACATGATCGTAGTATCAGCGTTAGTCGCAACCGATACATTTTTTTTCATCAGTGGATTATTAGTTTCATATAAAATGTTGAAAAACCTCAAAAAACCGTAAGATTCGACAAAAATTTAATCAAATAAAACGTGTAAATTGCCATGGATTTCTTTGGCTGTTTTCAGGAATGGAAGGATAAATATTGTGCAGTTGTATTTCCATCGTTATTTGCGGTTAACGCCAGTTTTGGGTTTTTCGATTTTGTTTTCAATGTCGTTGCTACGATTCTTTGGCAGTGGACCAATTTGGGGAATATTTCTTAACAAAATCTATAGTGTATGTGCGCGCAATTGGTGGTCTACGCTATTGTATATTCAAAACTATGTCAATGGAGATGATATGGTGAGTAATGACAGCAAACTTCGGATCATTTGAGCTAATTCCTTTTCTTTTCAATAGTGTGTTCCAGAATCTTGGTATTTGTCAGTTGACATGCAACTTTTCGTGATTTCACCGGCAATTGTATATTTTATTTACAAATTCAATGTCAAAGCGGTGGCAGTTTTATCACTTCTAATATTGGGTGGCGTTGTTTGCACGGTGTTAATTGATGTGGATAACAATTTTAAGAGTTATCTTGTGTAAGTCGAACCCATCGAACTTTGGTTTTTGTCAATTTTTTGATATCAGAATTTATCAGAGCATGAAGCCGTCACTCACGAAGAGCGTGGAGCCGCTTCTATGTGTTAGTGTATCGTTTGTATCAGTGCAACCTGTGTACTTATATGAATTGAGAGGAACATCAAGCACTTCTGCGGTGATGCGCTTGCTAAGTTGCTTCACAAGTGCGATTTCAAGCTCTGGTATTCGCACTGCACCACCAACTGGTGAACACTAATTATAATAAAACACCATTCTCGTTGAAAATAGCGACTATCGGGAAACAGGTTCTTTCCAAAGAAATGGGGTCCAAGACATTCACTGACCGTCAATCGCCCAGGATCTTACGACAGTTGCAATTTTCAGCTAGGATGGTATTTTATTGTAATTCGTGTTCACCAGTTGGTAGCGTTTGACATTACCATACTTGCGCTTTAGCATGATTTCTTGGACTAAATGAAAACCAAATTACAGACATGTCGATAAGTTCAATAAAGAATATATTCTAACGCACACGCGATTTACATCGTGGTTATCAGGTGTCCTGACCGGATATTTGCTGGTTGAAACTCGAAAGAGAACTATTCGAATTCCGAAGGTTAAAAGAACAATAACTGGTGACTTTCAATGCATTAAATACATAAATTCCTTTCATTCTGTTCAGTTGTTCAATCTGTTCGCTTGGACCGTTGCTCTGGCTTTGATGGCGACTGTAATTTTTGCAAATTATCCACTTGTAAAACAATCATCCACTGCAACTTTGTTGGAATATGGACTGTATGATGGATTGAGTCGTGTATTTTGGAGTATTTCATTGTGTTACATCGTATTTGCATGTGTACATAATTATGGCGGGCCTGTCAATTGGCTTTTATCCCGTCCATTTTGGCAGCCGCTTTCAAGGCTTAGCTATTCAATGTATATATTGAATATACCCGTACTTTTGGTGACAATGGTCACATTTAAACATCTGCCCTATTTTACGGAGTTCTATGCGGTACTTTAAACGACAGACATGACATTTAAATTGATTTTATGAAGAACATTCTTTTTCAGTTTCACACTTTCATTGGGAATTATGTGATCACCGTCTTTGTATCGATAATTGTCACACTCACCTTCGAATCACCAATTATAGAGATTGAAAAGCTGCTTTTTGGTACAAACAAACCTATTCTAGATAATAAAAATAACATTAATAATGAAGTAAGCTTGTCAAGAGATAATGAGACCTACACGAGATGCAATGATGACACAGTGGAAGAGATTGTTAAAACGGACAATTGAGGTGCATTTTGAGGGGTTGGACTCTTTTGGTGGTCAATTACTGTAGAGAGATTTGACTCTCGTTTTAGTTAAGTTCTTCACTTACCGAAGAGCCAAGATTCACTTCCAATAGTTAATAACCAAATATTTTTAACTCAATCAAATAAAAAAGAAATTCGACATTATGGATTGTTTTTGAGTTGATTATTTATTGAATTTCGATAAGAAGAAAAATGGAAACGGCATGATTTCCCCTTTTGTATTTTATGTTTTTAATTTTGATCAAATTCGGTAGAATTTCAGGTTCCAGATCAGACCTCTGCTCACATCTGGATCATTCTCCAAGATTGGATCTTCATGAAATTGTACTTTGAAATCGGAATTCATTTGAACTTCAGACTTCAACAAAGTGCCAGATGCACAAATTGTGGGTGTATTTAGCTCCAAGCAAATCTCGTGCATGGATGAAGGTTTGATAAGAATTGGATTGGGCAATTGGATTGGGCAATGATACGTGCACTGCCATTAATCCCAATTTTTGTTCTCCTTCAAACAAAACCACCTCTCCGTCACTTGATGGATCCTCTGCGTTTGGCATTCTAACGATCGTTATTTTCACCGATAGCTCCTTTTTTATTTTAATATATTTGTTATTAAGATTTTCGTATAAGAAGCTGATGGCAAATCCATTTAGAAAGGCCGGCTCATTGATGGAGAATGTGGTTGTTTCCAAGTTTTTGATGATATATGGTAAAGTCGACCTATGGCACGAAATAAGTCGATTACACACAACAACAACCTTGTCTTTCCACGGATCAACTTCACATCTCTTTGCTCGGTTTCCATTAAACATCTTTGTCTCGCAATCTTCGTCCGCAATCATTTGAATGATGTCCTGTTGCTCGTCGAATGAAAACGTTTTTCCATACGATGGGATGAGAGTGGCAAATTCGTTGAATGTCATCGATCCAAATCGCAATTCGTGAAAAGATTTGCCGAGCTGAGATTGTACAATTTGCTTGGTCAAAAAAAAATTTTTACTGGCCGTTTTTACCCACGACATAACGGCTTCAAATAGTTCGATTTCAGTGCACGATAACCAATCTAGTTTCAAAATCTAGTTTCAAAATGGAATCCATTGTTTTCTTGTCGCATGTTTGGAAGCTGGCTGACTTCAATACTGTCTTTGTTTCGGCGCCGATTATACCTTCACATGCGCTCTTGAGGTTTGGTCGATCGAGTAGAATACCTAAACCGTAGTATTCGCAAACATTGTCTTGGTTGAGGTGTCTTTTGATGAATTTCTCACACACCGTCATACATTTACCCATGTCGTACATATTACCGAGATTCATGACTTTGCCAGCATTAACCATGGTCAATTGCACACTATCCAAGTAGAAAAATTGGAGGAATTCTTTGAAAACTGCGATTGACACGTC